TATTGTTTCCAAGTTTGCTTTAATAGCTGTAATTAAGAAATGGTACCAGATACCCCTCAGTAGATGAAGGATCAAGAAATTGTGGTATAGATACATAATGGAATTCTATGCTTCCATCAGAAAGAATGACACCACCCCATTTGTTAGGAAATGGAAAGACTTGAAAAACTCATATTAAGTGAAATAAGCCAGACCAAAGAAATATAGGTCCCATGGTTTCCCTCACTTGCAATAGTGTACACATCTAGGATAATTTTATTGGATGGGCAGAAAAACTCAAAAGCTATGTACTTGTGACCATATAAGATGATGCTAAGTGAAATGAACCCCAAGATATGGACTCGAGGTCTTTCTTCGTTGTTGTTGCTGTTTTTAATGTACTATGTGATTTTTTTCTGTTGCATTTGTATGTTCTTCCCCATATGGTATATCCCCTGCTGTCACTATACTTAATTTTGGTACATTGCATCTTGTATATATGTTGTCTAATTTGAGGAGGGGAAGGGGAATAACAAAACGCTGAAACAAGGTCACAGGATGACCCATTGCAACAATGATACCTACAAAAGAGTCTATTGGAAATGAACTTTACAACTTCAGGTGGGGGTGGGGGGAGTGAGGGAGATAAAGGGAAAGAAGGGATAGTGGGGGAAGGGAAGGGGTAACAATGCTTGACAAGAAATGTATCTATTACCTTACTCATGTAACTGTAGCCCCTCTGTACAGCATCTTTAAATTAAAATAAAAATTTAAAAAGAAATGGTATCAAATTGCTAGAAAGAATGATAACATTAACTTTTTAAATGTTTTACTTTATTGTTACATATAATATACATAGATATTGTATATGTATATACAGTGATATACAGAGGGGTCACATTTGCATGTGTCAGGTAATAAATCCATTTCTTTTTGTACAGTTTCTTCTACTCCCTTACTCTCTCCATTCCCTCCTTCCCATCTCCACCCACCAGTTATATAGTTCACTTTTATCAATGCCCCATGTGTTCCACTGCTGCAATTTTCCACACTTTTTCTTAGGATACTGTGCCCTTCTGCCCACCCTCCCACAGGTAAGTATTTGAATGCAATGTATATACTGTAAAGAATGCACAATAAGAAAAGAATGAAGAATCATCCATATCTTTAGGGTTCATTTCAGTGCGTATATTATTTTATATACACAAGAAAAGGTACTTGGGAATTGCACCTTTGTGATTCTCTCCTAAGATTATCCTCTTTTGGTCTCACTGTGAGTATCTAGAACCTGTGTAATTTGTCATATTCCAGTGCATTTTATATCTAACTTCCACATATCAGAGAGAACATGCCCCATTTGCCCCCCTGATCTTGGCTACCTCGCTTAACATGGCTTGTTCTAGTTCCATCCATTTCCCTGCAAATGACATTATTCTATTCTTTCCAACGGCTGTGTAAAATTCCATTGTATATAGGTACAACATTTTTTGGATCCACTCACTATGGTGGATTTGTTTCCATATCTCAGCTATTGTGAATAATGTGACAATGAACATGGATATGCAGGTGTCCTTGTCATATCCTGGTTCATGATGCTCAGAGTAGGTGCCTAGGAGTGGTATGGCTGGGTCATCGGTCTACATTTAGATTTTTGAGAAACCTCCATAGTGCAGTCCAGAGTGGACGTGCTAGTTTACATTCCCACCAACAGTTCAGTAGGGTTCCTTTTCCCCCACATCCCCACGAGCAATTGTTGTTGCTTCAATTCAAAATGTTGGGCAATCTAACTGGGATAAGATAGAATCTCAGGGTTTTGATTTGCAGTTCCTTTATGGCGAGAGATGATGAACATTTCCTCATGTGTTTCTTTGACATTCTTAACTCTTCTTGTGAGAAGTCTCTCCTTAGGTCCCTTGCCCATTTGGTAATTGGTGTATTAAGTTTGGGAGGGGTTAGTTTCTTGAGCTCCTTGTATATATTGGACATTAGGCCTTTGTCTGATGTATGGTTCGCATAGATCTTTTCCCAGTCTGATGGCTGTCCTTCTAGTTTAGCAACTATGTCCTTAGCTGTGCAGAAACCTTTTACTTTAATGTGCTGTCATCCCACTTGTCCAGTGTCTCCCCTATCTTTGTGTCCCTGGGACTCTATTCAGGAAGTTCCTGCATATACCTGTAAGTTCTAGTGTTTCTCCTACTCTCTCTTGCAGTAGTTTTGGAGTTTCCGGTCTGATGTTGAGATCTTTGATCCACTGTGAACTGCTATTAGTACATGGTGAGAGCAAGGATCCACTTTTATTCTTCTGCATATGGCTGCCCAGTTTTCCCAACACCATTTGTTGAAGAGGCTATGTTATTTCCACTGTATGTCTTGGGCGCTTTTGTCAAATATCAGATGACTGTAAGTATGTGGTTTTATTTCTGGGTCTTTAATTGGTTACATTGATGTTCAGGTCTATTTTTGTGCCAAAACCAAGCTGTTTTTTTTTGTCATTATGGCTCTGTAGTAGGGCTTGAAATCTGGTATTGTGAAGCCACCCACATTATTTTTTTGCCTAGAACTGCTTTGGCTATTCTAGGTCTTTTGTGTTGGATAAGAATTTTGGGATTGTTTTCTCTATCTCAGTCAAAAAACATCATTGGGATTTTGATTGGAATAGCATTGAATTTGTATATCATTTTGGCAGTATGGCTATTTTCATAATATTGATTCTATTTATCCATGAACATGGAAGGTCTTTCCACTACCTGGTCTCCTCTTTGATTTCTTTCTTCAGATTTTTTATAGTCTTTGCTATAATTTTTTTAAAACATCTTTAGTTAGGTTACTTCCTAGGTATTTTTTGATGCTATTGAAAGTGGGTTGTTGAGTCATAAGTGAGCTCTATGTGGAGTCTTTTGAGGAACCTCCATACTGCTTTCCAGAGTGGTTGAACAAGTTTACACTCCCACCAACAATGCAGTAGGGTTCCCTTCTGGCCACTCCCCTCCAGCATCTGTAGTTACTAGATTTCTTGATCATAGCCATTCTAGCTGGAGTGAAGTGGAATCTCAGTGTTGTCTTGATTTGCATTTCTTTGCATTTACCCAAAGGATCACAAACAAGGTCATACCAACTACCAGTACAAACATGTTTATCGCAGCATTATTTACCATAGCTAAGATATGGAATCAACCCAGATGCTCCTCAGTAGATGAATGGATCAAGAATATATGTGTGTGTGTGTGTGTGTGTGTGTGTGTGTGTGTGTGTGTGTGTGTGTGTGTATACACATACATCTGCCTCCATCAGAAAAAAATGACATTGCCTTTTTTGTTAGGAAATGGAAAGACTTGGAAAAAATCATATAAAGTGAAGTAAGCAGGGCCAAAGAAACATAGGTCCCATGGTTTCCCTTGTTTGCAGTGACTAGAACATGTCTAGGACAAGCAGAATAGGTCAAATGTTATGTACATATGACCATATGAGATAATGTTAAACAAAATGTATCCACAAGAAAGGGACCTGAGGTTTTTTTGTTTTTTGTTTTTCTTTCTTGCTAGTGTTTTTAATGTACTTACAATAAACTATTTGATTCTTTTGTTTCTATTGTATGTTCTTCCCCCATGGTATAACCCCTGTTTTCATTGGATTTGATGCTGGTGCTCTGCATCTTGTATATATATATATATATTTGTAATTTGGGGAGGGGAAGGAATATTGCAGAATGCTTAACAGAGGATGAAGGCTGACCCATTGTGATGACAAAATGTACCGGACACTATATTAAAAACGAACTTTATAATGTTGGGGTGGGGAGGGCCGGAGGAGTTGGGGAGTTGGGGAGGGAAGTGATGGTAGGGGGAAAATAAAGGAGTAGGTAACAATCTCACTATGAAATGTGCTCATTACCCTACTCATGTAACTCTAACCCCTCTGTACAACATTTTTACAATAAAAATGAATAAAACAAAAAGAAAGTGGGTTGTTTTCATGAATTCCCTTTCTGCTTGTAAGTTGTTGGCATAAAGAAAGGCTACGGACTGTTGTGGGTTAATTTTGTATCCTACTACTTTGGGGAAGTGGTCAATCAACTCTAGGAGTTTGGGAGTATATTTTTTTGGGTCCTTTAAGTATAAGAGCATGTTATCTGCATAGATATGCAGCCATAGAATTCTAAGAAATCTCAAACTTTGAGATGATCAAACATAACATGAGCCAGCTACTATTCTATCAGAGTAAAATGTATGAGCAAATAAATGACCAAAGATTTGATTAGTCCTATCATTTATTAACTTAAATAAATATGTCTAGCTGAAAAGAACCAAGACCCCAAGAACAAGAGCCAGTGGAAATAATAGAAGCGCTAATAGAATGTAAGTGTCTGTTAATCAACAGAGTAAAATATATTCCTTTATTAAAAAGGTAAAGAAGACTCCATCTCTCCAGTTCTTGAGCTTCTGAGACTTTAAAAATTTAGAGTTTCTGTGCAACCAAGGCTGAACCTGGGGCCCTTGGGGCCATCACCATGAGGTAACATGAACATATTTATATACACTATAAGCACTATGCATACCATTTGAGTGAACATGAGACCTTAAGCAAGAGGCTCATGAACATCAAAGAAAGACATAGAAAGAGAAGGACAAAGGAGAGAGAAACTTGGTAAGACATATTCTTGTTATAAAACTCAGTGAGTTTGTAAACTAATTTACATACTAGAAAACATTAAAAACTAGAAGATTTGTATTTATTTCAATTAGTTAGAAAAGGATAGTAACATAAAAAAATCTTTTAAAGAATTCTTAGCAAATTTTGTTTTGCAACAGCAGTTTATATTCTTAATCATAAATTCAGTGAGATTTTATCAGAGCGCTTCAAACTTTTTGGTACATCATTTCAAAATGAACCATGCTTACTAAAAGTTCACTATGGATAATTGTGTATCAACGATTATAGGAACTTATCAGAAAATCAGTTTACTTTTTGGTATAGTTGTAATTATTATTTCTATAATGAAGCTTAGAAAATACAAAACTTCGCTAAGAAAACACTTTCCTCCCAAGCTCTCTCTTCAGAGCCCCCTTGATCTCATTATTCCTGAGACTGTAGATGAGGGGGTTCAACATGGGGATCACCACCATGTAGAACACAGATATCACCTTATTCTGGTCAGTGGAGTAACTGGATTTGGGCATCACATAGATGAATGTAATGGTTCCATAGAATAGAGTGACTGCAGTGAGGTGGGAGGTGCAGGTGGAGAAGGCCTTGTGGCGGCCCTCAGTGGAGTGCATCTTCAGGATGGTGATGAGGATGTAGATGTAGGAGACGGCTAGGACAATCACTGTGACCACAATGATGGATCCAGCGGTAAATGAGGGAACAATAGCAGAAACACTAATATCATTACAGGAGAGCTCAACTAAAGGAGCAAAATCACAGAAAAAGTGATTGATCCCATTTGGTCCACAGAAAAATAAACAATAGAAGCATAAGTTAAAAGAGCAAGTGTTGAGAAAACCACCTATATAAGCAACTAATACTAACAGGACACAGACTTGTGTAGACATTTTGGTTGAATACAGTAGTGGGTTGCAGATGGCCATGAAGCGATCATAGGCCATGGCAGCCAGAAGGAAGCACTCAGATGATCCAAAGAAAACAACTGAACCAAGCTGGATGGCACATCCAAGATAGGAGATTGAATTTTTCTCTACCAAAAAGTTAACCAGCATATTGGGTGTGACAGAAGAAGAGTAGCCTAAGTCAGCAAAAGCTAAATGGCTGAGGAAAAAGTACATGGGATGGTGGAGCTGAGTGGAGACTCTGATGAGAAGAATTGTGCAGAGATTTCCAGATACAGTCACCAGGTAGATGCCCAGGATGATGATGAAGAGGATGACTCGAAGGACTGGATCATGAGTTAAGCCCAATAAAATGAACTCTGTCACTGTGGTGTGGTTCCCATCCACTAGGGAATCCATCATATAGTGGAATTGCTGCCAAAACAAATCTAGGTTGAATAAATTACATGAAAGTTTTATAAATAACTATGATGATATCATTTTCTTTAACAAATATGGAAAGTAATGAAAAACAAAGTAATTCAAGTACCTGTACATTTTTATAAAAAGCAATGTGTCAACTTGCAAATTAATAAAATATTTTTAGCATACACGCTGGAAAATCCTTATAGTATTGTCTTATTCCTTTACCCTTATGGCTTAAAACTGTCTAATGGGGCTTTGCACCCATGTAATAAAAATACAAAGAAGTGGATATTTAAACAATGAATGTACATTTTAGTGGAAATATAAACTTACCTAGAATTTTGCAAGAACTTGGATAGTAGCTAATAATTATTTGAGTGTTTAGTAAATGGTAAGCATGCAACTTAGAATTATATACTTACACAAATAATTATAAATATATGATTCAGTAAATGTTCTAAAAACATTTATTCCATTATCATTGTGGAATTGAATTAGCAGAGGTTGAAACAGAATATAAAATATTCACATAATTACACAAGTGATAAATTACAAACATGAAGTCCAAGAGACTGTCTATTCTTTTAGTAACTATGTAATAATGAAATTAAATTATAAAAACCATAATGACATTGAGTATATAACCAGTTCATGTAGCCTTGATAAAGTTAACAAGTAATATCATCACATGGACTTTTTATGCTTCAATATATCTACTGAGTATTAAAATATTTTGAGAAGAAATAAAATAGTTCCCGGTACCATAACAAGAAACAAATTCTAAATTATTAAAAGGGGTCATCCACTTTTTAAAACCAACTATTTCAATTCACTGGATGTTTAAATAATTTAAATAGCAGGTAGAGTTTTTGCCAATCTTTGAAATATTATTGCAGTCATTATGAATAATAAAAATTTGAATACTCAGCCCAACTTAAAGTAGGGTCTATCAAATCAAACAAATCACTGCCTACCATAACAATGATTTAAAAAAAAATTTTTTTATTGTGAGAATACCATACTGAGGAGTTACAATTACATGGGCAAGATAACGAGTACATTTTTTATCAAGCATTGTTGCCTCAATTTTGTTTCCCCTTCTCATCCCTTCCCATACTCCCCCCCCCCCCGCCCCCGACCTGATCCTCCCCACCCCCACCAAAGTTATAAAGTTTGTTTTTCGACATAAGGACTTGTACATCTCATTGTTGCAATGGGTCCACCTGTATCCCTAGTCAAACGATTTGTTTTTTCCCTTCCCCTCCACAAATTACCAACATCAAATTCAGTGAAAGTATGGGTTAAACCGTGGTGGGGGGGGAGACATACAAAGCAACATAGAAATCATCTTATAAATATGTTAGAAACAATTGCATGAAAGGAAAAAAAAAACCACACTTGAATACTTAACTTAGGGTTCATTCCCCTAACATCAAACTATCTGACCTTTTCTGCTTGACTCAGACATATACTAGATATTGCAAATAAGGGAAACCATGGGACCTATGTTTCTTTGGGCCTGACTTACTTCACTTAATATATTTTTTTCCAAGTCTTTCCATTTCCTAACAAATGGGGCAATGTCATTCTTTCTGATGGAGGAATAGAATTCCATTGGATCTCATATCTAAAATATACCTGGAACTTAAAAAATTAAATCCCCCAAAAGCAAATCTTCAAAGAAACAACTGTCCAATAAATAAGTGGGCTAAAGACTTAAAAAGAAACTTCTCTGAAGAGGAAAGAAGGATGACCAATAGACACATGAAGAAATGCTCAACCACTCTAGCCATAAAATAAATGCAAATCAAAACAACATTGATATTCCATCTCACCCCAGTTAGAATGGTTATAATCAAGAACTCTAATAACAACAGATGCTGGAGGGGATGTGAACAGAAGGGAACCTTACTACATTATTGGTGGGAGTGTAAACGTGTTCAACCACTTTGGAAAGCAGTATGGAGGTTCCTCAAAAGACTCCACATAGAGCTCCCCTATGACCCAGCAATTCCACTTTTTGGCATTTACCCAAATGATCACAAACAAGACCATACTAAAGCTACCAGCACAACTATGTTTATTGCAGCCTTATTTACCATATCTAAGATATGGAACCAACCCAGATGCCCTTCAGTAGATGAATGGATCAAGAAAATGTGGTATATATAAACAATAATGATTTCTAACTGGCAATGTTTTAACATGAAGTAAAGTCATTTCAAATAACATTGCAGAATAAAGTACATACTAAAGAATTAAAATCACTGATTCTGTCCACTAAGCTTTCTATAAAGTTTAAGTGACACTAAAAACTCAGATGCAAAATAATTATGCAAAGAATTTTGACATCTTCAGGCTTTTGACACTTCAATTAACTCTTTAAGTATTACAAAAACCCCAAGGTATATTGTCATATTGTTAGAGTGCTAAAATTTGAATAATAATGAAAACACAGTGTCTGCTTCTGTCTTATGGTTAAGTAAATAGGAATCCCAGTAATGGACTGTGTATAGGTGATGTAAACAGAGACAGTCAGACAAAGTAACCCACTACCTGATTGCTTGATTACATCAGCCCAGTTTTCACATTATGACATGTGAAAAATTGCAAACTACAGACAGTAAAGTTTTCTCAAATAATAAATGATATTAAAAGAGAAGATTAACTAATGAAAGTCAATATCTTACCTCTTTTCCTAATTTTTTTTTTTTTTTGGTTAGTCGTGGAGCTTGAACTCTGGGCTCTGGGCCTAGGTTCTGTCCCTCGGCTCTTCAGATCAAGGTGAGCACTCTCCCACTTGAGCCACAGAGCCACTAATATCTTACCTCTTGAAGTGAGAATTTATTCATCTTTTGGTAGCAACACAAAGTCATGGTGAATATGTATAGAGAGAACAAGTCATTTTCTAATTATTGTTCTCCTTTGAGGATTAATCCCTAATGAAACTGAGGATCCAGCTATGAATTCAAGAGCATCATGGAGCCTTATCAGGTTTTGGAGTGAATACTGAGTAATTCAATTCACATAACACAACTGATTCCCCAACATGTTACCAATTCTCAAGTGATCAATTTATGCTTGTGTTTCTATCTAGGTGCTCATGCACACATCAGAAATATTTTCTTGTATTTCCTCAAGAGAGTAATTAAACAAATTGCCTTAGAGATGAATATTAGTTCAAGAACACTTTGAAGATTATGACATTGAAAAAAGTGCTAAATTTCAGGGGAAATGCTAACATTAGCTTTAAACGTTCAAAAAGTGCTACTAAGTAATTTGTTTTTTGTTTTTGTTTTTGCTGTTGCTGTTTGCAATGGTATCCTATTAGTCAGTGCTTTTTAAAAATTATATTTAAGTAGTTTTACTTTGGAGTTGCCATTTAACATAGCAGCTTATGAATACAATGCATCTTGATCAATGTCACCCTTTTCAACTTTCTTACCCATCTCTCCCTACCCATCCCTTCTCTCACACATCGTAATTTTATAGGATATATTATTGCATTCTCCTCCTATTCTCCATTTCATTGTCTACCCCTTTCCCCTTGACCCCACTCCAACACTTTCAAGTATCTGCTTCTCCATGTTTATTTTATTGAAATTGGACATTTCATTTCTCAGGAATTACACTATTTGTGTTCTCATTAAAACTTTTTATTATCTTTCAGTAATTGTACAAAGGAGGTGCCATTTCAACAAAACAGTTTATGGATATAGAAACAACTCAAGTAAATAACCTCATGATGGAATTAAAATTGCTAGAAAAACAAGAATCAATCAAACCTAAAACTACTAGATGGAGAGAGATAGCAAAGATTAAGCAGAAATCAATGAAGTAGAAATTAAAAAAACCTATAAATAAGAGCAATGAAACAAAAAGTTTGTTTTTTGAAAAAAAAAATAAAATGGACAGACCACTTGTGAGATTAATGAGAAAAAGAAGAAAGGAGATTCAAATCAATAAGACCATAGATACCATAAGAAACATTACAATGAACATCCAAGAAATTTGAATGATTATAAAGGACTACTTTCAAAATCTATATTCACGAAAGAAAGAAAACCTAGCAGAAATGGATGAATTTTTAGAAACACTCAATCTTCCTAAACTGAACCAAGAAGAAACAAACCAAGTAAACAAGCCAATAATACACTATGAGATAGAGTAAATAATCAGAAGTCTTCCAACAAGGAAAAGCCAAGGGTGGTTAGATTCACCGCTGAATCCTATAAGACTATCAAAGATGAACTAATACCAATAATCCTCAAGATTTTCTATGAATAGAATCAGAGAGAGAAATTCCAAACTCATTTTATGAAGCCAATATCACACTCATCTCAAAACTGGAAAGAAGAAAAGAAAAGAAAAGAACCACAGGCCAATTTCTCTGATGAACACAGATGCAAAGCTCTTCAATAAAATGTTAGCCAACAAAATCCAAAAACAATAAAAAAATACATTATGACCAAGCAGGCTTCATTCCACAGACACAGGCTAGTTTAACATACACAAATCAAAAAATGTAATTCACCATGTTAACAGAGCCCAAGACAAGGACCCCATCATCATCTTAAGAGATGTAGAAAAAACCTTGGACAAAATACAACATACATTCATGTAAAAAGCTTTGGAGAATCTAGGAATAGAAGGGACTTTCCTTAAAACAATGAAGACTATCTATGACACGCCAACAGGCCCTATCACATTAAACAGTGAAAACTCAAACCATTTCTCCTAAAATCAGGAACAAGGCAAGGATACCAACTTTCTTCATTCCTCTTTTATCTAGTTCTGGAATTCTTAGCCAGAGCAACAAGGCCAGAAAAGAACATAGAGGGGATTCAGAAAGGGAAAGAAGAAATTAACCTATCCCTATTTGTAGATGATATGCTCTGCTCTTATACTTAAAGGACCTAAAAATACACTCCAAACTCCTAGAGCTGATCGACCCCTTCCCCAAAGTAGCAGGATACAAAATTAACCCACATCAG